TATTGTATTTAACGAAGTGATTTTTGTAACATTTTGTCGGTTGTTATTTGTCTTTGTTGTTTTGATCATTTTTTGAGTTGTTTATCATTAAAATTATCAAGATTACTATCACTAGGAAGTATATCACAATACTCTTGTTGTATGAGCCTGCTTTCCTCTTTGGGCTGTGACAAAGAGTCAAAACTGATCATTCTGGCTCTCCCAGACATTTTATGTCTTCGCTATAGTAAAGAACAGTTGATATGAAGCCTCTCATTTCATTTCAGCACAAAATTTTTTTTGGCAAAACAGCTCTATACTTTGCACATCAGCCATTGGAACTCTGCATAACTTTGGGTCTATATGGATAATACTTATCATAAGCTATCATGTTTACCTGTACAAACTATCATGATTACAGTAAGGCTGACCACACCAACCTCCAAAATAAAATATTTCCCTTCCAATGGTAGCAGCTGCATAGCCAATAACACCCAGTGGAGGGTTACCAGTGGTGGGTTTCTGCTCCCACCTACCAGTCCTTAGGTGACACACCTCCATCACAGAACACATTGATTTCTTCTTTTCATTATTATGTACTCTAGGGAGATTAGGCTGCTCCCCTCCCCACATGTACAGGTAGTCTCCTACCCGTACAGTGGAGTGTCCATACCTCTTCCCTGGTTGATAGTCTATAGATAACAAGATGTAACAGTAACTGAATGATACACTAATAGTAACAACACACGAGTCATAATCGAGTATAAACAAAAATACTGCCGACCTGGTGCTTTGGCTGCCATTTTGTAATTGTTTGGAGGTAACCGAGGTAACGCGACAACGATCTAATTCTATGACTTCAGAATATGAAGGTGTGGCAAAGGCATTAATTATTAACCATAGATATTAGAGTAAATGAAATGCTTTGATTCATATAAATCTGGACAAATAATGACACTACTGACTAATGACAGCCTTTGACAGGTCACAAACAAGACGCTTTCTTGCTAAAAGTCAGCAGCCGTTACTAAAAAAAGGAGTAACCCGCATCCATGCCTAGCAATGTACAAAGTCAATGTAGCAACAGGGAAGTTTCCAATCCCTTTCATTTACTCTAATATCTATGTTAACATTGTCAAAAATTAATTTTAAAACTCAAAAATAAAAGTAATTTATAATAGTATTGAAATAATCATTTTACAGACATTTGCTGGATGCAATTTGTCTGTAGCAGACATGCAATGTTCAGTGAGATTCTCTTCTATCCTCAGGTTGAACAGGTTGAGATGCTTCCCATTCTCTTCTCCTTTCTTGTAGTTTCTCTTGATACTGGTCCAGAGGTATTATACTAGTAGACCAATCATTATTACTAGTATATCCTATACAGTAACACAATAATTATTATAATCAATTATTTGAGTTAGTTAATAAGCAAATCTACATGTACATGTACTCACTGAGTTCAATAACTGCTGGATCACTTATGATTGTTGAAAAGTTCCTCTTTCCTCCAAACACAATTATCCAGTTAGTGGTTGGAGTCACACTCCAAACTGAGAGAGAATGAGAATATCTCTCAGTGACATTGTCTGGTATATTAACCTATAATAAAAAAGAAGATCGAATTAATATTATTGGTATTTATTAGTAATAATCTAATAATAATTAATAATAATACAGTATGTCCTCCATTATCCGAACACCTTTGCGCACTTTTAGAATACCGTATAGTGGGAAAAGTTGGCAGAGTTTTATTTTGGCAATTGGCGGTTTGCAAGCAGAATCACCAATCATTAATGCACATGCTCAGTAATGCACGTGTACACAAAAATTGCCAAATTAAAAACCGCCGATTAATTTTTAAAGCAAAATCGCCAAAATAAAGTGCTGCCAACTTTTCCCACTATACAGTAAGCGAAATACAGTACAGAATACAGTAGACCGACCTATCCCATACTTCTTTCAAAGAAATGTGCATGACTTTTCTTTCTTTAACTCGCAAAGCATC